ATGTTTTAGGGATCAATTTGGTCAATCCTTTTTGTGGTACCTCTTGTACTATTGTGCAATATGGCAGCTTGAGAAATTAATAGAAATTGAGGAAAATCTTCTCCAAAAGAGAACGTTTACTGTAATGTTCTTATTGTTGTGTTAGTAAGACACAGGTTTACAGTAGTAAGTTTACTGACTGTATTTTTCTAAAATTTGATTGCCAAAAATGCTGAGGCTGGCTAAAGTAATTATTTCAAGAATATGTGAGTACTTCAGTCGCTGCCTCTGTTGTAGACATGAAAAAAAAGTATAGGAAATTCCATTGCAAAAAACAAATGCCTGCAGAGCATAGTACAGTTAGGAGACTCAGTTAAAGTCACTCCCACTTGAGGGCCTTGAGTCACATCAGAAAAGCTTGCGTATACTTTCGATTTGCACTGACAATCATGACTTACTTGAATTCTTTGAGTTATATAAGGGTGTATTTGTATTTTCAATTTGTTGCTAACTACAAGAAGGGGCTTTGGAGGAAACTGGTGTGCATTGGGGTAAGGATGCTCATCAAAAATATAATGTTAAACACTTCAGGTGGCTGCATGCAGTCAAAAGGGTTTTGCCCAAGTACAACATAAGAAGTATAGTAAGGATCCAAAAACAAGGTTGTCTCTGACAGTACCAGCTCTCTGATGTTCATGCAAGATCAGTAGGGTTTTATTTTCTTCTGAAATTGTCTTTTAGTAGCATATGTTTTATTTTCAAATTGCTTGTTGTGATATTATTATGAAATGTATGAGGAGCATCCCTACTGCCTAAATTACCCCAACACCATGAATTAGGTTCAATTTTGTAATGTTATTGTTTATATTTCCATTTCTGCATTTTAAATCTAAAACATAATGATTACAACAGATGAGAATGAGTTTGATATGCCTTGATTAGGTGCTTCAACATTTAATTACCTGTATTATAGAAATGATTACTGAAATAATGATTTCGGAAGATGTGTTTAAAATGTAAAACAACAAGACCTCTATTTTGCATGGACTTGTAAATATGTGGCTCAGTTATTAGAGATTGTTTAATTATTCTAGTTTATATACACACATACTTTGAGAAGTGGCCACTGAATAGATGATGGCTCCTTAACAGGTGAACCTTTGATGGTCTCACTGTATTTATATGTCATATATATATTAAAAACTATCTTTTCACAATATTGACTTTGAATAAATAAATCAGTAGTAAAATAAACGATAAAGACAGCAAGTGATTTTTACGACGTTTCGAGGTCATACTTTAACTACATCTTCTCTGTCTGTCATTTTGCTTTATATTTTGGCCTTGATTAGGATGCAATCCAAGTGTGTACATAACAGTTTTTCTCTGTACTTATGACTCGGTGGTGGGGAAATTCATGTTAAGACCACAGCTCAGAAATGAACCAAATGCAAAAACTACCCACATTGTTTGGATTATAAACATCATGTTACCAAGCCATTGTAGAATAGAACAAAGTTGCAGTCTTACTGTGAGGAAGGTGTTCTAATATCAAGTGATAAAAATATCCACCAAACCTGTCTCGACAACAACAGTTTCCAATGAGCTCTTGCGAAAGGGAGGAACCTTGGCAGTGGAAAAAGAAATGGTAAATTGACTATTTTGTTGATTTTAATACATGCAGGAAACGATTATAACCACTTTCAGAATTTAGTTATTTATTATATCATTTCTTACCTGATGACGTTACATCACACATTGACAACTGACTGGGCTGGCCTACAAACGCAAGCCTCCCGTGTCCTTTTTTAGATCCCTCTAGATCCAACTGGAACTACGCTATTTTTGACTTCATTTCATTCATTAGTAGCTAATATACAAAGCGATACGAAGCTTTTAATACACAGAAGACACAGAAAGATTGATGCTTGTTTCCCATTTGCAGCCAATACCCTTAGCTGTCTTGCTGCCTTGGCTTATTTTAGAAAGGGTTGTGAGATTCACTCTTTAGGGATATCCAACACAATCTTACAATACGCTTTTCGACCTTCTTGTGTTGTCGTCCGCCATTTGATCACATCGACAAGGCACGTACCGCAAAGGATTATGGTAGTGGCAGCCATGGTCCGTGGCAGCCATGGGCCACGTAGCTAAAGTGAATTTACTTTTACTTTTGATTTTACTTTTGATTTTTCGTTAATTTTGGAATCCTGTCCAATTAAGAAATTAATTGGACAGGTTTTCAATTGGGTCTTTGTTAAAAGCTGTGGTTGGCTTTTACCTATTTGGCTATATACTTAATAGGTAATAAGACTCCATGCTGTCCAATTAAGAAATAATTAGATTTGAAAAATTCCTCTGGCTGCCAAATTGGACTCGGCCACAGCCTCGTCCAATTTTTGGCAGTCCTCGGAATTTTCCTCGTCCAATTATTTCTTAATTGGACAGCATGGAGTCCTATTACATATAATAACATTGCACGTCAGATTTTACTATGGAACTCACATTACGCTGTAAAGCACTATATTCAAGCTAGTAATTCATTGTTTAAAATGAATGGTTCACGAAGAGTAAAGAAAAAACACATAACGACTGCTACGGCGTGAAAAAACAAAACAAAAAACAAACAAAAAAAAACAAACAAACAAAAAAAAAAACAGTGCGGCACGACGGAGCCTGAAACAAGTCGATCAAAAAGAGGACGTGGATAGCTATTTCGTCATGAATGGACCTCTCTCTCTCTAAAAACATTCGATGATAAAAAGACTTACATCCCCTATTGAGTAGCGATGTCCAGCGGGGCATTCTAATACAAAAAAAATGCAATACATCAGCTAAATAATGCAAAAAAGATACTTTAACGTTTTACTTACGTACCATACCAAGTTACGTTTTCCGTAAGCCCGCTGCGAACTTTTTCGAAATCATCCTCTGGCATTGTGGGAAGGAAAGAGTCCTGCSATAGAATAGAAATTATTGTATATCAAATTCCAAAGTCGATTCCCATGATCCCCGATRTTCTCGATAAAAGAAAAWTTTGAGATCATGTTGARAGTCAGTTACTGTCATTCTGACAAACAARAACTTAATAGATTGAGTTTTTGGATCCATTAATTTATGACATTTGACGTGAACAGCAKAACTATGCTATCAAGTCGACGTTTGACCTTCAATCCTTTGCAAAATTATAACTGTAACTATATTGCTATAATCTCCCTTTTTTGCTTTGTTACTTGTTTCTCGRTGATATGATCACTTGACGAATCGCCAATGACTGAACAAAWACGTGTATGGAACTTTGSAGTGTGGAAAAGGGAACARAGATTTTCATTTATTCTGCCGAAGATTGTAGGTCGCCTATGTAGYTATACRTGCCTTCATAGCTKCAGGTTTAWCCATYAAGSATCGCAAAGTGCTGATTAGTTCATTGTCATCACAGCAATGTAGTATGATCATGGTGTGTACAATCACTTCGGCTAAGTCAACAGTGGCTCGTGGTTGGTTGGGTTGYGCAGATAGAGCTGAAAACYCTTCGCCTTGTGAATTGTCCAGCAGTTTGGYTGCAAGTTGACGACCCTACACAAWAAATATGCATAAATGGTATCCTATGTAGGTGCAAATGACTATATTTTTACACGAATTTTAAGGAAGACAAGGAAAAGGCTTTATTAGATATCAATTTACATAAGCAGTGTYGGTATACCTTTGTTGAGAGGTGGTCTGGTAGCKCTAAAAATTCACGTAGTTCTTGGTGATCCTTSGGAAAAAATACAACAAAAACACAAATTATTAGTTGAAAATAACATCAGAGTTGGTACACGTAAAAATAATTAAGTACTGTGATTTAGTTTAGGACCCATATGCACCCAAGAATCTTTGCGCGACTTTCTCGCATGCAAAATTCCGCCATCTTTGATTTTGTGCCAATCAGAAACCACCTTTAAAAAATAACAACAACAACAACAACAAAAGCAATTGCAAAGATTATTGGGCGCACGTTTGCCGTCTGTTTGTATATTGTCTTACAGGAAGTTTGTTCCTGGGTTGTCTGTAGCCACAAGTAATTTCCCGATAAACAGCCATTAGACAAAGCACATCATTCCTCAATACATTGTCATGAGCCTGAAACAAGAGAACATTAAATTATTTTATTCATTGTTTCCAGGGTTTTGTCGATGGTCGGTTCAGAAGGACAGCAACAGAAACGGCAGCACTTGCAAAAACAGCAAAAGTAACAGCAACAACAGTAGCAGCAACAGCAACAGCAGCAGTAACAACAGCAAAAGTTTAAATCTTAACTATAAAATCTGCTACTTATACCTCGGATATACTTAACAAGCGATCAAAGTTTCCAGACATGAGCCCGTCACCTAGCGCATCACGTACGTCAGCGTATATGTCACCATGCGCTATAAATCTGTCAGGATCACTTTCCATAAACTAAAAACACACAAATAAATGAGAAAGTTTGATGAATTGTTTATTATAACCAGATACGCGTGCTTAAATAGTTAGTATTCGCAATTTCTTTAACACTATATTAGCCTTAATAGACGACTGAAGCTTTACGTCACCTTGGTGATTGGCAATGCATTGTGGGATCAGTTTCTTGATTAACCTGTCAATAAACCTCTGAAGCTTTTACGTCATGTACCGTATACGCAATGCATTGTAGGATATGTTTGGGACTGAGCATGGCGGATTTCTTTTGTTTTCTCATCCCAAAATCCATTGCAAATCAAGTAATGACGTAAAAGGTTCAGAAGTCTATTTCATCATACCTG